GGGAGTAAAAATCACTGGTAAACACGTTCGTTCTCAAAGAGAGAAATGGCAAGCACGTTTAGACACCTGCTGTAGCAGAGAGTAGTCCGCAGATAAAGGGTTAACCGACTGTGTTCATGTTTATTGTTTCCAGCATTATATCTGCTAAACATTAGATGACCAGGGACTTCTTCAGGAGAGGAATGCATCTTAAGTCCACTTGATCCTTTCCCACCATCCTCCTTTTGCAGCACCACACACGCTTCTCAAACCAGTCCCACCTTTCGTGAAAAAAAATCAAGACTGTATTATTCTGCCCAAAGTGATTCCTTATTACACAGCGTTAAACTGTATCCAAAAGACTCTCGTGATTACTTTTTCAGATGCTCTCACCAATTCTGAAGCACATCCGTGAATGTCCAACATGTAGAGGCAGGTCTAAAATATCTGGATTCACATATGAGTTGGTTAATTTGACACCGGGGCTGCTAATTTGATAAATGTCAAAGGGCAGAGCCACACTAAATTGCAATTCACACATAATTGGAAAATTCAGGCACTCTTAAGAGCGTCTGGTATTTGCATCAAACGCTTTGGGTCCAAGTAAATACTTTTTACTAAGGTTGGAGTAAATAAAGCCAGTTAGTTCACTGTTAAAAAACATTCACGAGTTGCTGCTGATGCAGTTGTCCAATCTGACGAGTATTAAAATGCGACCTGTTTTATAATCTAGAAAAGGGAAAGTGGAGCATTGTCACGCAGACCCAGATTGATGTTCCTTCATTCAAAGTAAACGCAAGAAAATAAACAAGGCTCTGGCTGGACCGAATCCAGCCTTTTCCCCAATAAACAGTAAGCCAGGCCTATTTTCCACTTGACCACAGCTGAAATAGGCTTCAAAAAAGCAGTCCATAAAACCCCCAAAACATGCAGTTCTTAGTAACCCTTCACCTCACACAAGCTGAATAGTGGAACTAATAACTAATAAAAATCCCATTTGCTTGCTCAGATATGGAGCTTTCTCCCCTTCAGGCATTCGCACTGGTTGTGTTTATTTACAAACTATTCTGAGTAAAGGGTACACAATACTTTTCTTTCAGCCCAACAAAACATACGCACAAAATGTCCAGTCAATTCACTTTACCGCACACTCTGTTAAGTGCTTTGAGACGTCTTGAAGACGTGAAAAGCGCTATATGAAATGCAAGGATTATTATAACTGCAAACTGCGAAAGCAGAAGAAACCAAATAAAACTAACAGAAAAGAGACGGGCAATCACCGAGAAGAACAAAAAAAAACAAAGTCAAATGAGAAAATGTGATAAATATTTAGGCTTATTTTATTAAATGCCTTGGAGTTTTTTTTTCCCCTAGCCAGAATATGAACATATGTATGTTTTTATGTATGTATATATACACACACACACATTAAAAAAACGGCAGCACAAGAAACATGTCTACTCTACAGCAGAACTCGGCTCAAGATGTGTAAACACTGGATCCTTTGTCATGAGTCAAGCACGTTGGGCTTCCCATAGAATGCAGGGTTCACATAACACAAATAAAGCGCTCGAGAATCACTTCTGTGGTTTATGTTGTCTATGAATTTCCAAAGACGTTTAAAATTAAACAAGCCTCGGGCAAGGATTAGATTTTTTTTTGTGGGGGAAAAAAACACAAACACACACACACACACACAGACTACAGTAGAAGGTCTGACACACGCCTGTGAAGTCCAGCATCTCTGCTTTAAACGCAACGAGTGTGCGCTTTTCCCCCCACAAGGGACTTTCACACCTGACGCGGCAGCGAGGTATCGTAAGTTCCTCGATGCCTCTCGAGGTTTTAAATCTACAGTAAAGCGATAGTAAACACTTGCATCTGACACAGCGCTCGTAACGCTGAAAGATCTCAAAGCGCTTTGCAAGGAATTACTGTATTAGTGTCAGTCGAACTGACTGGATAATTGGAAGTAACATTGCAGCCAATTTCTGCACGGCAAGGACCCAAAAACAGCAATGAAGTGAATGTACAAATTATCTGGAGGATTGTTGGCTGGGATACGAGGAGAAACCTTTCCAATCATATCATGGGATCGTTAACATCCACCACCTCAACAGGCAGATGGGACCTCGGCTTAACAGCTCATCTGCACCTCTGACAATTCATTTAGGTTTCAGATCGGAATCATTCCGAGCTGTTTCACCCCACCGCCCTCCATACACACACGCACACACACGTGGCTAAATAAGTTGAAATCAGCTAAGTAAGTTGATCACAGCTGAATTAACAAGTACAGCAGGACATTCATAGCAAGTTGATCAGCACCTGAAGTAACAACACTGGTTAACCCTTCATGCTATGCATTTGATGGTTATAATAAGAATAATACTTGCGCTTGATATAGCGCTTTATCACGTTGTTGAGCAATGTGCCAATCGACTAACGACCGGGTTCCTACTTACTATTTGGTAAATAGGGGGGGTGTGGAGCAAGGAAACTTGCCTAGGGTTTCACCCTGGCTGGGAATCAAACCCGGAGTCCTCTCGCGTGCGAGGCGAATGCTATAAACCACTACACCATGGGACTCCACGTTCACTGGTTATGATGCATACAAGGGAGTAAAATACTGAAGAGGAGAGAAAGCAGATAACGTCATCAGCAATAGACTTTAATTTGAGGTAGAAACGACACAACCTGCAATTTCTGTATCGTTCTCCCTTTAAAATGATTCGAACAAGATCATGATATCTCACATGGGTTTCAAATGCTGTTTCGCATACATATACAAGCAAATAATTGACAGGTTGACCTTTTTTGAAGATCTCCCCAGTTACTGGGATGTGTTAGATTACAGGATTCGCATGAGTTCCCTGAAAATATGTAGCGAGCTCATTGTTTTGCTAACAACAGAGAACCTGAGAAAGCGCTTTCCTCCGCCCCCCCCACCCCCAACAGCTCTGAATTAGCAGCATGACGCCAAAACACTCGCAAGGTATAGAATGAAGAGATCGCCTGCTTCCCATTTACTATAATAAACTGCAGATGTTACTGCCGTGGCTCCCAGTAATGGCTGACATTTGTACTACTCCGCAGACTGACAGACAGCCAGCAGACATTTTTAACAGTGGGATTTTCGGATTCATCGATTGCTGCCTCGGAACAATTGCCAGGGGTAATAGGAGTTGAGGTGCAGATCAGCCATGATCTTGTAGAATGGTCTACCCCTTTGCTCTTATGTTTCTTCGTAACATAGGAACAGGACGGGGCTAATGCTTGCATTTGATATAGCGCATTATCACGTCGTCGAGACTTTAAAGATCCCATGGCACTATTTGACCACATAGGACAAAATATAGTTTCTCTCTCCCAGTGCCCTGGCCAACAATTCCCCCAAATAAAATGTGGCCATTCACTTCACAACTGTTTGTGGGACACCGCTGTGCACAAATTGGCTGCTGCGTTTGCTCCCAAATTCACAGTCACTGCACTTTACGGTAAATTCTGCGAAGCAGAAGTCCTCCCCCACGTGAAAGGTGCTGTACCGAATGCAAGCATTATGATGTTTACTATTATATAAGGCACTGGGGTCTGGTTGCGTGTATATTGAGCAGTGAGTGGGATACAGTCTGTTGAACATGCCAGTGTTACGCCAGCAAACGGTAGTGTGACTGTCGGTCTGCCTCAACTCTCAGCGTTTCTCAGCTTGGCTCACAGCTGGTGGCTATCTCCTCTGGGGGGAGTGGGGGCGCGAGTACGATAGGAAAAACAGATGTGTTTAACACGTGCATAAACTATTTACGGGGTGGGGTGGAGGGGGGGGGGGGGGGTGGCGGGTGCAGTGGCGGCAGACAGAGGGGGAGAGAGAGAGAGAGCGACAGACAAGAGAGACCGAAAGCTGTGCAGAAGACATTTCAACAGCGAATAACGTGCCAGTAAATCCCCACAGAATACTGGTTGTGCTTGGAACTGGAATAGGCTGGAGAGGCAGGAGATGGCGCTCTGCTGTATAAATCATGCTTCTGTCTCTCCCTACTTCCCCCCCCCCTCCACACACACAGGCTGTTTGCTTTTCTGTGTTGGGAAGTGATACAAGGCTACTTGAGCACATGACAAGCCACCAAGAGGCAGTGACCCATTTAACTCACACCAGAGTCTGAGCGTTTGCAGGTCAACTGCCTTTCCAAGAGGAATCGACCCTTTTCAACCCTACAAACTGTTGAAGAACAAAGTGATCGGAGTCCCGAGGCGCTGTGGTTAGCAGCTCGCCTCGCAAGCGAAAGGACCCGGGTTTGATTCCCGGCCAGGGCGAAACCTTAGGCAAGTTTCCTTACTTCACACGCCTCTGTTTACCCAGCAGCAAGTAGGAACCCGGTTGTTAGTCGATTGGCGGATCGCTTTTCCAGGAGCGATAATCCCTTGAAAAATAATAGTAATTTGGTCACTCAATCCGCAACTGTTTGTGGGGGACACTGCTGCGCGCAGTTAATTGGTTGCCCCGTTTCGCCCACAAAATACACAAATGTTTTTACCTGGCTTTCGAAATTCAGTCCGGGTCGGATAAATTAAAATAAAAAAAATAAATTAAAATCAAAAGGCAGCAAAGTACGAACTGAGTTGGTGAATGTTTATATAATATGGCCAGCTGACAGATTCCCCCAAGCTGGGAGCTATCTCTCTGCAGGAGCCTCAGTCGATCTTGTTACGTGTCGACTTGTTCGCACTGAAGGAATTCCTTCCTTCATTACACATCACGTCATTTGCAACAACACAGAACAACTTTCCCCAAACGTTTCTGTTGGGAGGGTGGGGGGGGGTGGAGGAAAGAGGCAATTGCGTGAAAACAGTGCAAAATATAATATTCCATTCATATGAAAGGTTTCAACAAAAGACGCGAGTTTTAAGATACAAATCCTTTTGAATGTTACCATGAGTCGTGACTATTTATAAATACCGTTGCCTCTTAAGAGAAAAACTTTTCTTTGCAAGGGTTTTTAAGAGTGAATTGTGGTTCTCGTCTGCCACCTAGGGGTCTTTTTGTGGCAATAATGCGTCTCAGTGGCGCTGGCTTTGATGTGTGCAAATAAAGTACTTGCATATGCATCATCACTATAACAACCAAGGACAGCGTTACCTGAGCAAGCTTTGTGCTTGTCGACCTGTTCCTAGAGACTGGGTTAAAGCCGCCTCTTGTTAAACAACACCTGTTGCACTGCGAGATAACACCACAAGCACAACAAATTGCTGGGGAGAATGAATTCTGCTTTATCCAGGTAAGGGGTCTGTCTGATGGTAGATCAAAGCAGCCTTAGATCTGCAATAGACACGACAGTGCGTGCGTGTGTGTGCAAAACGTTGGAGCGAGAGTTAAGTGAGCTGCGTCAGCCATTGCTGAGCCTAGCAACACCCACACCTTCTGGGATTGACAACAAACAAGAAGTGGGTGAGGAAGGCCAGTAGCAGAGGCAGCAGCACCTTGGGCTGAATTTGCTCTCTGCTGATTTCTATTAATGCAATAGATTAATGCAATAGACCCAGCGCCTTGGGATGTCCTCCCGAAGTGAAAGGCGCTAGACAAATGTAATCTTGTTGTTGTAAGTAGGCTCCTGCGAATAGACTGAGCTTTAAAATGAGAGGAAAATACAGAAAGAGAAGGGGCGGGGGGGGGGGGGGGGGGGGGAGACATTATTTTCTTCCCACTCTTCACTTCAGTAGTTTGATCATTAACTAAATAATAACCCGTAGCCATTTGGCACACAAGCACCCAACCCTGAGAGTTAATTATTCACCGTAAGAGCTCCAGTCTTTCTGCCCACTATTCCCAAATCTCAACGTTTCTGAATGCATTTGCTTCTTAGTACAGTAATCAAAAGCAATAAATTGAAGCCATGCTGATTTTACTTTGCAAATTGGCTGCCGTATTTCACCTACAAAATACGCAGTCCTTCATTTCACTTGACAGTATATCCTGTCAAGCTGTATGAGACCTCCTCTTGACCTGAAAGGCTCAATATCAAATTCAACGATCATTATTATTATTATTATTATTGTAACAAAATAACAATCACACACACACACACACACACGAGTTCTGTTCTGAAATCAATAGAAAAATGGGAAACTGGGCTCAGACTGATGTTTGCACCAGTACAAATGAAAACACAGACATTTGAGACTCTGGACACATGGAGACAGAATGTCTGATTTTGGCTTCGTTCCAACTTACCACCCAAATTCTGAGTTTTTGAGACATCTGTTCCAGATGTGCTCTCATCCCCCGGTTAATTGTTGCAGCAGCTTAGATTTCACACAACTTAGAGACGTGTGATTCTCTTTCTACCCCATTTCCCTCCCTCCTTGAAGAGATGCTCAGGTCAGGATCATGGAAACCACAGTCACCAATGCGGAGCAGTACCTTGGGCAGTTCTGCACCCTGATGGGCTGCTACTCACGGAAGACTGCCAGACTGAGAGACAAGACCGACCTCCTGATCAGGCAGATCATGGACTTCGCAAACACAGAGAACTCCGAGCTCAGGAGATGCCTGAAGGACTTTGCCGAAGAGTTAGCCAAAATCCAGGACTATCGACAGGCAGAGGTAGGAGAGAAATGTACGTCTCCATAGAGATAGCACCTAGGAATCTCTTACTGATGCTCCACCGTGTACAAAGTAGGTAGGTGACAGCCTGGCTCAGTTGGTAGCACCCTCACCTCGGAGTCAGAAGGTTGGGGGTTCAAGCCCCACGGCGGGATTTTCAACTCATGGTGTAGGCTGACACCATTGTCAGAGATGCCGCCCTTTGGATGAGACATTAAATGAGATCCATCTGCCTCTTCAGGTGGACAGATCCTATAGCAGTATTTAAAATGAATTTCTCCCAGTGTGCTGCCCAACAATCACCGCCCCCCCCCCCCACCTCCCCCACTCCATAATAATCGGCCATTCCCTTCATGGCTCCTTGTGGGACGTTGCTGTATGCAAATTGACTGCCACGGTTGCCTACAAATACACAGTCACTACACTTCGGAATAAAATCCCGTGAAGCGCTTGAGATGTTTCAGTGATGTAAGACCCTCTATGAAATGCAAGGGCTCTTAATAATTATTTCTATTAACACGCGTCTCTTTGCTCCCGCTTCCCTACCCGTTTAGGTGGAGAGACTGGATGCCAAGGTGGTGCACCCGCTGAAAGCCTACGGCAGGATTACAAAGAACAAACGGGTATTTCTCTCAGTTACTGCCGCTCGGCTTGGGTCTCGTTCACAGGACCACAACTCTGAGGATTAGATTCCATTACATAGATTACCCCACGGAAATAGGCCACTCGGCCCACTAGTCCATGCTCTGTGGTAGAGACTTGAGTCCCATTCAATGGAGAGGGAAGGCAAGGGGGTGGGGGAGGGGGGAAGAAAACATCTCTCACGCTGGCTTTAAGCGAGTTTAAGGCACTTACTAGAATGAAGCACTTCGGTATGGGATGACGACTTCAACATGGTACACTTTGACCGAGATAGAAATATCTATTGTAAAACCCCATATGTTCTCAAGAGGCTGAATAAGGATTGAAAGTGGGTTTACGTTTATAAGGTGTGTCTCTCCTCCTCCCCAACCCCCGCCCCCTCCATCCCCCGCCCTTTTCCTATTTTCCACTCAAATCAGGCGGACATCAAAAAATTCATCAGCGTGAGAAACCGTGAAATAAAAGAAATTGAAAAACTGCAGCGGCTGAGACAGAAGAACCCTTCGGACAGACAGGGGATTGTATCCTTCTAATAATCTGCCCCAGTAAAAGTGTGGAGTTCAGAAAGCGCAGAGGTGGTCAATGTTGGTGGCACAAAATTAAAGATTTTTTTAGTGCATTGAAATAAAACTTGCTCCAAGTCCAAACTCTACACATTGCTCAGACATTTTTGGAGGGTTTTGTCTGTCAGCCGGGTGTCTGACACATGCGGAAACCCGTCACCATGCTTAGGCGTATCCAATCCAAACCTCAGACAATCAGACAACCCAAAGCATACACCCAAATTTATTTAGGGATTCATTTCCCTATAACAACAATGAATTTTTACTCAAGTTTGCAGAAAACACATGGGATCAGGCAATCCTTCCATATGGATGTCATGCATCAACCACACACAACACCTAACGTTAACACAAATTACTTGCAGTGTCATTATAATGAACAGCCCCAGTAACAGCTGAACAAGAGGTTAACTAAGGTACTTTTTTTGTTCCTTAACTGACTTTCATCAGACACTGGTACGTGGGTTTTTACAATCTGCGTCTCCATATCAAGACCTTCACCTTAACCTGTAAAATACGGTCTAAAATATTGCCTTCGAGCTGCTTATGGTATCATCGGTCACATTTGAACCCATTGTTGTGGGGAGGGATGTTTGACCCAACTCACTGGTACTGGATGGTGGACAAATTCATTTATAAACTTATGGGCTGTTCTCCTAGTTTTTTTTTGTTCACAAATCAAAAATGTGGTAGATTGATACCATGTGTTTTATCGTTTAATTTTATTTTCGACTGATTACTTCAGGCTGCTCTGGCAGAGGTAAGTGAACATCCGTCATCCTCGCGAACCGGCGATCCTACAATTCATTGATATATATATTTGTTGCAAACATACATTGCCTGGTATGGGACACTTTGCAGTGTGGTCTCAGAGCATTACAGCATTATTTGTGTGTGTGTGTGGGGAGGGGGGGGGGGTTGGGGGGTGAGGGGGAGATATGACCCATTCTGTTCCTCTCTAATCCTCTCTCCCACCATCCCATCGCACCAAGACAAGTCCACCACCTTTGCCCATCAAAAGTTTTTCTAGGAGTGAGAATGGGTGGGTGGCCGAGGGCAGAATGGATTGAATAAACAAGAGTAAATATGTTCAGCTAAATTGTGTGTCTCTGAGCGAGTTGATGAATGGATCAGGAAAACCCTATTTGGTGAGGGTTCAGTAGCAGCAAAGCTATTTATTTGAAGGGTCTTCAAAATATCTCCTTTACACCAAGACTCAGAACCAGAATTCTTTCAAATCGCACGTGTCGCTGTATAGTTAGATTGGGATTTATCTGTCATTAACCAAGACAATGGGACTCGATTAAAAAACAGCTTGATGATGGCAGGACAGTAGGGTGGGCACTCTGGAGGGATGAGATCAGTTTTCATCCAAACAAATCTCATGATGTTTACCAAACGTTTGTGTGCATTTCAGACACTTAAACATTGCTGCAAGGTATCTAAGTGCAAAATCTTTTTCTTTATCCATGTTGCTCCCACTCCACTAACCCCCCCCCCCCCGCCTCACCCCCATGTCCCAGCTTTTCCGTGTTCTGGGTCTGTGCATGTTTCAAAGCAAAGCACATTTGTCTGAGGCGTCTCTTTGCTTTTGTATCAACCGTGAACAAATGATCAGCCTGTGTGACAGTGAGTTTTCTCGCCCAGGCTGAGGCCAACGTGCAGAAGGCTTCTGTCAATGCCAATCACACCACGCGGCAACTGGAGGAAATCATTGACGAATTTCAGCAGCAAAAAATGAAGGACATTAAGGTAGAGGAATCTGGTTTGGAACTGAGTTACCAGGAAGGGAGTGTTGAGGCCAGGGCACTGGACTCAATTAAGAAACAGCTTGTAAGTTGTGATGGCGGGTTGGCGTTTTGTTGGGGATTCTGGAGGGATGAGATCAAAGTGTGGTGTTAGTTTCCTGGTATTTGCGCAAAAAAAGGATGAATTTGGAGACGGTTAATCGATGCTAAGCTCAGCTGCAGTAAGAGCACTGTGTTGGTGTCGTCCTATGGATGAGAAATTAAACCGAGGTCCTGTCTGTCTACCCATTCAGGTGGGTGTTCAAGAGCCTGTGACGCTATTCAAAAAGAGAAGCGCTCAGACATCCAGTCCAACAATTCCCTGGATAAAATTGGTCATTAACTTAAATGGCTGTTTATAGGATGTTGCTGTGAGCAAATTGGTTGCATTAACACCCTTTCCCCAGTGATTTAATATCTGTACCCATTCTCAACCACACGATTCCTCACTGCTGAATTACATTATAATGCAAGTTGTTGTTGCACCTTCCAGACCATTTTTTCAAACTTTGTGACAATTGAGATGTTGTTCCACGCCCGAGCCCTGGAGGTTTACTCCAGCGCCTTCCTGCACCTGGAGAACTTTGATGAAGAAAAAGACCTGGAGGTAAGGAATGCACCAACCCTGACAAACATAGACAGCTCATAAGCAACAACAACTGCAAATGTGGGGTCCTATAAAGCGCCCTTCACGTGGGGTGGAGTCTCGGAGTGTTCACTGGCAAGCAAGAAAATAATAATTTGAGAATTACTATTTATACTCAGATCAAGGGTTTACTGATAACAGAAACAACAATAAATTGCATTTGTATAGCACTTTATGTCGGGAGGATGTCCCAAGGCACTGGACATTCAAAGATTTGGACCCGAGCTGGGGTTTGGGATCAGAATAATATATTAACATAAAGAAGAAAGACCTGACCCAAAGCCAATGTTACAGCCAATTGAGTCTCTTACTTCTGTGCTGACATCTCAAAATACAAGCCAGTCACTACACTTTACAGTAAATATTTAAGACCGTGCAGAGTGGCGTAGAATGATCTTCAATCCAGTCCCAAGTTGGGAAGCCATTCTTATAACTGCAGAAAAACAGCTTCTGACTTAAGACTGAATTGAAGAAGTGTCCATTATTCTGGACGATGTCAAGAGATTTTTTTATGCTTATATGCTTTTTTTATGCTTATAATTTTCTTCCACCCCTCAAAGGCTTTCAGGTCAAAAATCTGCATCAGTGAATTTGAGAAAAACACACGACTGACTCAGGCACAAAGCACTTCCTCCCTGCAACACTCTCCTGAGAGCCAGGTAACAGCTCATTGTGATATACTGGGATAGACTGACTCTGGGTACATCTTAATCCTCAGTGATTTACCATGAATCTGGAACTATTACCGAGAGAGAGTTACGAGCTAAGTACCTGCAACTTACCCTTCTGGGACTTGGTGCTTGACATGCCAGCAGGTTACAATCTGCCAGATATATATGGGATGAACTCCAGCTGCATAAATATGATCCTTGCATTTGAGATAGGGCCGTAACACATCGTTGAGGCATCTCAAAGGGCTTCACAGAATATACTGTAATGTGAATTGACTGCCTCAATTGACTGATACACAAGTGACATAGGTTAGAGACGAGCAAACTGAACCAATCTCCCAATCCCCTTCTGCTTCCCAATTCAATCTTGGCTTCTCTCCTGCTGCAGAGTCGGGTTCCACGGGGAAATCTTCATCCTCTTTATAAGGAAGAGGAGTCTGAGGAGGTAGAGGAGGAGGAGGAGGAGGAAGAGGTTGAAGAGCTACAAGAGAATAGTCACAGATATGCTCAGTATGCGAAGATTGTGAGATGAAGCACAATCAGTCACACATAATGCACATCCATTGTATCACTGTTTATAACCATCCCATCAATGTATCGCTCTTTGTAACAGTGTCTCAGAATATCCCATCAATGTATCGCTCTTTGTAACAGTGTCTCAGACTATCCCATCAATGTATCGCTCTTTGTAACAGTGTCTCAGACTATCCCATCAATGTATCGCTCTTTGTAACAATGTCTCAGACTATCCCATCAATGTATCGCTCTTTGTAACAGTGTCTCACAGACTATCCCATCAATGTATCGCTCTTTGTAACAGTGTCTCACAGACTATCCCAGTCATTGGTACGTGTTTCTGACAGTGTTTTGTGTACACAAATTGGGATGAATGAAAAAGAGATCAAACTTCAACCACAAAAAACATCAGTTATTCCATGCTGTCAGTTGAAAATTATGTGTGTTCTTTAAGCCTAATGGGTCTCGTGTGGTTCGTAAAATGAATGGCGCCCACAGCTGGAAGCATCATGTGTGACTTTCAGTCTTGTCTTTTGTGTGGGGCATGTACATTTCACAGTGTCATCAGTCATTGTGTATAAATAAAGCAGGGGTGAGCTGTCTCTTTCATTGATGAATACTTACTTTCCTCCATTCTCATGATTATACAATTGGCCGGAGCCCAATGCTCTTCCACACTGACAACTCGCATCAATACACTGGGACGGAATCATTAAAGCCAGGATTTCAGGGAGAGAAGAGAAGAGAGAGAGAGAGAGAGAGAGAGAGAAATGGACTCACAAGACACTAGATAACAAATAGGCTATGGAGGGACAATCATTTTTTTAATAAAAACATTTGTAGTAGAAAAAATACAAACCTGCTGGGGAAAACAAAATAGTAAATTACACACAAATAAAAAATAATTATTATTTAAAAAATGCTCCCAATATCCCTCACAAGACATTCCCAGTGAAAACAGTGTGGTGTTTCCCAGAGTTGAGTTATCAAGCATTTACTATATATATATATATGTGTGTGTGTGGCACTAGATTCCCAATGTCACATTATGCTGTTGGAAGCCAACGCCAGTTGTATCTGCTTTGAGTTGAGCTGCTTCAGTGGTAGGAATTTGAAGAGAACCTGAGAGACCGAATGGCACTAAAATCCCATGAATACCGGTGCAACAGAGCTGTCCGTGATGGGAAAATCGTCTCGTGCAGTGGGTGAATTTTTTGGGACCTTTCGTCTTTCCCAAGCGCTCCGGGAACACAAAACAGCATCCTCGCAGCGAGGTCACGAATAACAGAAGATCGGGCACTGCATTCTGTGCTCGCTCAGTCCTCATGTCTCCTAGTCACTCAAACGGCTCTCTTGTTCCTGGCTGGGGTCTTTGTATCTTCTGTATTTTCTTTCCACCAGCAAATCCATGTGCCCAGTCCAGTTGGCTGTATTAACTAGCTCCATCACTGGCTCGATTTGCCTTCAACAAATCCTGAAGCCGAATACCAACTGGTTTCATTAGCTCTCGGTGCCTATTGAACCTACTTTCCCGGGAATGCAGTGGCAATGTACTGCCTCTGATACTCTGCACTACGGTCTCTTGCGGAGAAAGGATGGAGCGAAGCTCTAGATGAGGAACCTTTTATCGACCAGTGTCTTCACAGCCAAGTTCCTCCTCGCCACCATCTCTCTGATCAATTCCAGAAGCTGATTTAAACAATAAGAAAAAAAAAGGAAACATTGCAGCAAACGCTTGCTCGATTGAACCATACAATCAGTTTTCAGTATCTCCCAATCGGGCTGAAAGGTACACCGACTGTAATTGATCAAGGGCTGGGTTTGGGATGTGTGATTGTTAGTAAGTTAGTGGTTTGTAACCAACATACTTGTTTGATATAGTGCCTTATCACATCATTCAGGTGTAGTTAAAGAGGGTACACTGTAAAGTGGAGTGAATTTGTATTTTGTGGGTGAAACATTGCAGCAGGTATGCGCACGGCAATGTCCCACAAACAGCCTTGGAGTGAGAGACCAATGTTTAACATCCACCTGAACAGGCACAGTCAGGACCTTGGTTTAATGTCTTATCCAAAGGATGGCACCTCAACAATGCAGAACTCCCCCAGCGCTGCATTAGAGTGTCAGCCTGAACCACACAAGCTGAAAGTCTAGATGTGAGTGCTCGATTCCACAACTTTCTGAATCAGGAGGTGTGGTTGCTACTGATTGAGCCTTGCTGTGCTACCAATCGGTTGACACGCAAAATTTCACCCACCTTCTGTACAATGTAAGTGATGATCGCTGCCAGGACATAGTTCTGGGTACCCAGGTCCACGACTGAGAAGAGCAGAGCATCAAAGAGGAGAAGAACCAGTTCGTGGCCGTAGTAGATAGCGTTACTGAAGAGGTTTCGTTCATCTGACAACAGCCAAACACAAACATTATAAGAAAACTCAAACAGAAACTAAACAATAATAATCCTTGCATTTGATACTGCGCCTTATCACGTCTTTGAGACGTCTCAAAGCGCTTCACAGGGTATATTGTAAAGTGAATTGACTGTATATTTTGTGGACAAAACAAGAGCTTTTGATGAGTCAGGCTGGCTGATCTGTCATCAGCAGTGCCCTGAAACACATCAGACCCGTCTAGCTCAAGAACCTGACCACCACAGAGGGCTGGCATGAGAGACACATCATAAGTACAAGTACTTATTGTTGTGAGTCAACTGTACATGAGCAGCTGGGAATGAAGCACTAATTAACTACTTGTTATTCAAATGCCAATATTTCTCTCACCATTGTAGAAAAAACTTCTGTCTTCTGATTGCTGAAATTCGAAGTCCAGGATCCTCTCCAGAAAGAGTTTATCTCTCACTGTGTAGTCCATGTCTTTGTAGGCCTGGGGGGAGTGAGAGAAGACTCACTTGAGAGAAAAGTTTGACTGCTGAGCAAAAGAGAGATGGCTTCCCACTCAAAGAGAGTCAGCCATCCACCAGCCAACATCACACGTAAGAACCTTTGTAAAGGTCTGGAGGTTAGGGTCATAGTATACGAAAGCTTGGCCAATGATGTTGGCACGAGAGGACGGGGGACATGCCCAAGTTAGCCCAAGTGCAGGGGTGAGCAGGGGAGAGAGATAGGAGAGAGATACAAAAAGCTTGTACGATTCAGCATCATATACGCAGGGTTAAGTTGAGATTTCTGGCATGTGTAAAGCGTTGAACTGTATTCCCATTGAATCTCTCATCTGTTCTCTTGGGAACTCCCATGTGACAGTCAATTACTCTCTCACTGAAAAGACCTGGGGTCAAATGACTGATGTGAGAGTCAGACTGACCCGTGAGATGGAGGCTTCCCAGACAGAACACACTCCCGATATAGATTGGACGGTGGGGCGGGCGGGGGTGGGGGGAGAGCGAGCAGCCGGGTTATATCCAATGTTTGCAGTCGCTTTCCCTTAAACAGTACAAAATTATTTTCCCACTTTGTGTGCCAAAAAACCCTCCGTTTTATTAATGCTTTGCCCTCAACCAGTGATTTATTTTATTCTTCACAAAATTATTTATTTGGAGCTTTCGCTCTCTCTGTGATAGTAAAGGGTCGAACTGTTGCTCGTTGACGTCAAAGTAGGGAATGGATTGGTTATGTATGGCTCAAGGTCTCTGACTGCAGGGAGGGAAGGCAAAGCTAAAAGCGTTCTGATTCAAAAGTCTTGAGGCTTCTTTGTCAGGTCTGTTTAAGGCGCTGTGTAAATGTAATTTGTTGTTGTTGTTGCCTAGACCTCCAGTCAAGGAGTGGCAGATCCCAACACTCTTATACCTATCAGGCAAACTGAGATGAAAAGGCAAATGAGTTCACTCACGTGGTCCAGGAAGGATGAAAGAAACTTATTCATGGTGCTGTACGCTTTCAGGTTTTGCTGCAGAGACTCTGAATCCCCACCCAGGCCTCGGTTAATCCTCGCCACCTTTAAAAGGTCAAATAGAGACTAAGGGAAGGTCACAATGTAACGGCAGAACTTTAAGGTGGTGCACTGCGCTCGCTGTCAGGTGGTCACGGCGGAGGATTCTCATCTAATCAATCATAACAATCCTTGCATTTGATATGACGCCTTATCACATCATTGAGCCATCTCAAAGCGACTCACAGTAACGTCTAGACTCACAGTCTGACGTAAAGTGGAGGTACTGTGTATTTTGTAGGCGAACTTGGCAACCAAATTTGCGCACAGCAATGTCTCGCAAACAGTCGTGGAGTGAGTGATCAATTTTATTTGGGAGATTGCTGGCCAGGACTCCGGGAGAGAGAAACACCCTTCTCTTTTCGAATAGTGCTGTGGGATCTTTAACATCCACCTGAACAGGCAGACGGGATCCTGGTTTAACATCTCATCCGAAGGACCTTGTGACTTCAAAGTCCTGATGTGGGGCTTCAGTGCACAATCTTCTGACTCAGAGACGAGAGCGCAATCGACTGAGCCAAGCTGTGACGGTTAATAATTCAGTTGCATTACGTACCTCTTGCAAAGGAGCCAGAATCCTGTCGTACTGTTGCCTGACCTTGTTAGAAAGTAAAATCTCAAAGGTCTGAACGTCTGCGTTGGGCTCCAGGCCTCTCATCCCACACAGGTTTTCCTGTCATGCAGAATACAAAGATTAGGAAACCCTGGAGTCTACTGATTTCTTATCTGCCTGTCCCCAACTAACGACTCCCCTTTGCATGTGTTTTTCTCTCTCTCACCGAAGATTAAATTTAGATTAAATCTGCTCTGCCATGAGAACTGTCAACATCGAGTTACAGGATCACAAAATCAATTTGGATGAAAGAAGCATAAATACTTTGAAGAGGTTGAAAATACTCTTCGAGCCACAAATACTTCCTGTTGTCTGTCCTGAAACTGCCCTTTGCGACTCTAAACCTCTCATTCCACTGTCTCGGTGCGTCTAAAAGAATTCTGGGGTTACTTTTCCCAATCCCCTTTAAAGTTTCATTATTTCTTTAAAAAAATTTAAACAAAATATATATATTTGTTTGTTAAAATAGATTTACCCTGGTCTCAGACAGTATCAAATCTGCTCCAGAAAAAAAAAAGTCGCAAGCCATGTTATTGTCCCGTTACAGGACGCAACGGATCTGGACTCTGAGACGGTTCCTTTCAAGACTTGACAACCCCCCCGGCTCGTCTAGTCCTCGCTCCATCGCTTACCTCTTCTTTCCTGAGGTTCAGGTACATGTTCTCCAGACCAACATCGGTCTGTCCGTGGACAGAGCGGCCGTGGATGTAATAGCCGTAACATCTGTACAATAAGACGAAGACCGACACCTGTTTGGGATGGAGCAGAAGAGGGTGACTCGCACGCGAAGAGCCAGCTTTGCCAGGAAGTCGTGGCGACGTTCCTCATCTGAACCACTGCGGTGGGGCTCGAAAGATCAAGCGTCAAGAGGCAGGGCTGGCAAGCAGGTGGGCAGGGTCGATGTGGAAGTGGGTGGGGCCATCTCAGGGGGTAGGCGGGGCTGCTGAACAGGTGGGGGTGGGGGCAGCGAGCAGGTAGCAGGGGCTCCAGGTACTCACATTGCTCACGGAACACAGGTCCACAAATTGCTGTATCTTGTTTTCGACAAATCGCTCGTAGATGGCGACAAAGAACAGCACCTGAAACGTGTACAGCATCAGCCCATCGGTTAGTTCTGTGCCCACAAAGAGCCGTGAAGTCAATTACTTGCCTTTAACGTCTATCTATCTAAACAAGCACGACACGACCTGAGTTCTAATGTCTCGATTCAAAGGACAGCACTCTGACAAAGTACTTCTTCCCCACAGCCCCGCACTGGAGCATCAGCCTCGACTATACGAGTTCAACTCTACAATGTGGGACTTTGGAGCCTTCGAACCCACAGCCTTCTAACTCAGAGGCGAGCGAGAGTGTTAACAACTGAGTCAGTCTGATACCTTTAGGGGTTTCACTTAATGAACCCTAACTGTGTGCTGGACATTGATCAGAACTTAAATCAGTCAGCGGCACGTGACGTACCTGAACTAAGCCAACGGCCAACCACATGGAAACTCCTATCCCGTATCGGAGAATCGGGCTCCAGGGAGCCAGGCTCACGTCGGGCCCCGGGTCCAGGTCCAAATGCAGGTCTCTCCTCGCGATGTTCTTCAAGCCGATAACCTGGAACCGGAGATAATAAAACAAAAACAACTTTATAAAAATCTTTGCTGTTCATAATGTGCGTTTCACGTCCGGAGGATGTCTCAAAGCGCTTCACAGTATTTAACCGTACATTATACTAATAATAAGTATCCACCTGAACAGAGAGCTCGATTTAACACCTCATCCAAAGGACAACGTAGATTCACAGAGAACAAAGTACCTCTAGCAAGAGTATAACAGCAAAGAGTTGTAGGAATGGGTTTATCTTCCTCTTAGTTTGGATCTCGTTCCATTCATTGGCTATGAAGTAGGTTCTCCAAATACTGACTGACGAGTTGTTTGGCTGGTTTCCTGCAACAACAGTTAAAAGAGCAACAACTTGGCGGTGTTCAGTTTAACGTGAAAGGCACTGTATAAATCCAAACCATTATTTAGTTTTACTAACGGAACAGGAAACAAGAGAGACTTAGGCAATAAGAAAAGACAGCAAGTTTTCAACTGCATACACCGAGTCACTACACTTTTCAGAAACACTCTCCGAAATGTTTTGAGACGCGATAAGGTGCTAAATCAAATGTGAAGATTATTATTTTAATACGGTAAAACTCACATAAATCTGATCTGTGTAAATCGTATAAAGCAGCCTACCTCCTGATTTAGGTAACTGCCTGCCTTTTGGCTTCTCCCAGTCTATTAGGAAGATTGAAATTGTCATCTGAACGATAAGGATATGAATTAACTCCAGTGCCTGAAACAAATCATATATTTGAACATTAGAAACCGCTTCTCCGAGAATCTCTTCCCGACGGTTGTTCCAATCCTACAATGAGAGACACTCGCCTGAGCAGTGGGAAATCTGTACCATATTGTCTGTAATAGTCTGGACAGTGATCACCTCACTTTTACACTAAATACCACTGGATTCAGAAGATGTTTCTTCACGTGCAACATGCAACAGGATTGACTGGGATATTTAAAAGGGAGGGATGTTTAACTCTCCACCAGTTATATGTGCCTCAGGTATTTATTCCCACGTATATCCCACAAACTCCTGTAAATTTTAATGGGGGGGGTGGAGGAGGGGTGGGGGTACAGGGGAAGGAGATCTCATTTAAACCCAGTATGCTTGAGTTCAAAGCATGAACTTCCAAAACAAAACCAGCCCAATGTCATCACAAGAGTCCAACCTTGAGTCCAAACGCACAAGACACGTAGATGATGAAGTCGGTTTCGATCTGACCGCCAACAGGGGGTAGAGTCACCTCAACTGTGGACTGCTGGCCCTGAGGAGAGACGTAGAACATTAGTGAGCTTTTCACCTCGACAGGCCCAAAATCCTGCTCGTCTGATAGCCTGCAAGCCCACTTTGTCCTATAGTTTACGATGGTGTGAAAGTGCTTGAAATTCTTAAATCCAGTCTTAATTTCGCCCACAAAATATACAGTCACTCCACTTTACAGTATTTCCTGTGAAGCGCTTTGAGACATCTCAACGGCGTGATAAGGCGCCGTATCAAATGCAAGGAGTATTAATATTTCTTCCCTGGCAAATTGCAACTTAGGGTGTGATTAGTCAGGAAAAACATTTAATTACCAGCTAGAGTCGGATTTTTAAGGAATATATTAATCTCGGAAGAAATGCAGGGAAACAAACAGCTTCCAAAGTGAGATCGAAATCAAGAACCAACCACAAATCTTTGCCATCTTCAAACTTAAAAAAAAATTATAAGAAGTTTAGGCACAGTAGAAATTTGTGCCTCTGCAATTGCTCAGGAATTGAACCGGCAAATTGAATCGTATTGGAAAACTCTTAAACTTGGTCGTAAATTTAATCGGGATCGAAGGATTTACAGCTAGTGTCTGAGCCTCGCTGAAACAATGCAGTAAAACTCTTACCTTATACACAACGAGCCAATAAATTCCTGTACCGTACGAGACGAGGAAGAAGGCATTGGAGAGAGCCCCTGCCAGGCATGCAAAGTATTTCATAATTGTCTGTAGGAGGAAAGGGCACAGTTTAAAGGATAGAGATAAGCAGTTAGTTCGCAGTAGTCAAGAGAAAGGAGTTTCTCCCAGTGTCCTGGCCGACAATATTTGCCTCAAATGACACTGATTTTGTTGGCTCGTTTGTGGGATGTCGCAATGAGCAATTGCGCTACAGAATTTGTCTACAAAATACACAGTCACTACACTTCCCAATAAGTCACGTGAAGTGCTGTGGAATGCCACGCGGAGAAAGGCGAGGATAATTATTCTTAATAATTACTATTATTATTAAAACGGGCACTTGTAGACAGAACCACTGGTGAACAGGTGACCAGCGTGCTAAACTCAGTGCGCGATGACAACACCAACAACAACAAATGACGTACCGTGACGTCTATGAACTGCAGCCCCGTCCTGCGCCTCCAGCTACTGGTCTCCAGCATGGCGCTGAAAATGGCCAGTGATCCCAGCACGCCCATAGCCACCTACACACGCTCAGGGTTAAACACGGTCACAGGCAAAAACGTCCGGAAAACACAGCCAGAGGCTGGAATCCTCAATCACAACCCTGGGCGTGAATCAAACTGCACATCGACTGTGTGCGTGTGTGTGTGTGTGTATGAGTGTGTGTGTGGAGGTGGGTGTGGGGGGTGGAGAGTGGTGGGTGGGGGAGATATTTGCTTAACTCTACGATTTTGTTTGCGTTACCCCGGCTGTATCATGGCCTAAGATTGACACGTTAGACAAGAGGTAAAGGACGGCATCAGGGACCCACGGACCCTCGCTACTTACGTCAGTGTCTCGCTTGCGTGTGGACTGCTTCATGTCGTACGTCACGGAAAATGTCACCTGGAGGGGAAAGTAACATTGACTTGAGGAAACAGCGCAGGTTACTGGTGACTGTCCAGAAATTGCCACTTTATAACCCTAAAGCTGTGTCCTCTTGCAGATCGGGACCTGACCAGACAACCTTTCTCCCCAGAGGCGAGAGCGCCAACAACCAAGCCAAGCCGACAGCTTGTCGGGTGACTAACTGGTCCACCACAGCAGCTGTGCAAATGCACCAGCCCTGGGACGCCTGTTGTATTTGGGTGAGTGCGAAGGACTAACAGACAAACCTTCAGCACCCGAGCACTGACCTCACCTGAGTTTGTGCACTGAGGTCCTGTATCTGAGCATACTGAATGGTCAACAGAAATGGAGGTTGGCTGGATGGCTCGCTGGTTGGCAGGTAGCTCCTGTGGAAACAGAGATAATGGAATGAGAAGGGTAGAGGTTTTCTGTGTGGAAAGGCCCCAACGTTTATCATTATTATCGTGTCTGTGCCGCCTGGTCTTCTGAATCACTCCTCCTTTTACTAATCCCATTTACCAGCTCTCTCCCTGCAACTGTTCATTGCTATTTGGGCTGCACAGATCTGCCTCCAATTCACTCTGAGCTGGGTTTGCAGCGTGCTAATACACTGTACCCAATTGGCATGGAATAATAAATAATAATAATAATCCTTGCATTTGATATAGCGCTTTTCACGTCTTCTAGACGTCTCAAAGCGCTTCACAGAATATGCTGTAAAGTGAATTGACTGTATAATTGTGGGCGAAACGCAGCAGCCAATTGCATACAGCAGTGTCCCACAAACAGTTGTGGACTGAAAATGACCAATTTATTATTGTTTGTGTTTTTGGAGGGATTATGTAGGAGTGTATCGGAGTGTATTTCAGTTTTAAGAAGGGCTTAGCTCCTTTAATAATAATCTTTGCATTTGATACAGTGCCTCATCACGTCGTTGAGATGTCTCAAAGCACTTCACGGGTTACACCGTAAAGTGGAGCAACTCTATATTTTGTGAGTGAAACGCAGCAGCCAATTGCCCTTGGGAATTGGAATATTGGGGTGTGGGGGGGATAGGTGTTTCGTTGCAGGCTTTAAGAGGTTAACAGCCGCTGCTCACCTCAGTATAAGCTCCTTCGCGTATGTCACGGAACTGGGTGAGTCGCTCAGGCTCCGACTCCTCCCCGTCATCCCGTCCACCAGGAAGAATCTCCGCAAAGCTCCAGTCCCTGTGTGAAGCCGCCAACATGGTATCGATAGTCAGTCACTCCCTGTCACAACATTGCCCCCAGGTAACTAGAATTCCTGTTTTGGGGGAATGTCTCGCTCGCTCAGCCAAAAATCCTCCCACTTATAGCCTTAGAGAATATAATATAATATATGATAAACCATGCATTTGATACAGCAATCAAATCACGTCAACGAAATGTCTCAAAGTAACTAGAGTATTCTGCTTGTAATGCAAATTTGCAGAGGTCCCATCTGCCTGTTCAGGTGGATGTTAAAGATCTCACGGCGCTATTCGAAAAGAGAAGGGAGTTTCTGTCTCCCGCTGTCCCTGGCCAACCTTCCCCCAAAATAAGATTGGTCACTCGTTTCATAGCTGTGTGCGGGACACTGCTGTGCGCAATTATGTAGCCGCGTTTGCCTACAAATACACGGTTGCTTCATTTCGCTGTAAATCCCATGAGGAGGCTTTGAGACGTCCGTCCGACGTGATAAGGCACTGCACCGAATGCAAGGATTATTATAATTATTATTATTACTATTAAGCCAACAGGTCACCAACCCAAAGCCTCGTCTGCAAGAGCTCATCAACCGCCAGCGACTTACCAAAGCCATCCCTGTCGAGGTTCAGGCTACGTACGGGGATCGGCCAAACCTTCATCCGTCCTTGGGAGTCGCTGTACTGAAGAAAGAGCTCGTAAAGGACCGGCTCTGGGAATCGGCTGAGCAGCTCTGAAACTCGGATCGTGCACTGCACCAAAAAAAACAACACTAAATAAGTGCGGCTCATTTCTCTCAGGTTGCTTGCAATTCAATTCCAATTCTTTCAGGAGTCAATGTCAGCTGTGATCATTGATCTTGTTAATCATATAGCCGGTCTTTCATCACTCACAGACTGCAGATAGAAAGAGCCAAATCTGTACGCAGCATCTTGTACATGTTGAGCACCCGGGCACAGCTGTAACAACAAACAAGAGACAAAAGACACGTTCACAATGATCCGTGCGTGTCACACAGCGTCCACAACGTCTCAAAGTGCTTCAGAAGCAATTGCTTTCAACTGTAGCGACGACTGTCTACACGTAGGCAAACTGTGCGTGACTTTCAGACCCAGAGGCGAGAGTGTTACCGACTGAGCCAGACTGACACGAGATGATGTCAAACTCCCTAATGATTTACCTGTAACGTGCCACCCGTGACATCCTCCCAGCCCAAAAAATTCCCTCGGGCGTCGTACTTCACAATTTTCAGGGCGATCTGTAGGCAAAAGAGACGTGAGATGGTAGAGAGCAGTACAGACAGTAAAGAGTGGCCAAAGACCGTGCAGTGCTGTGTTGGCCTTCTTTATCTGCCGGCTTGAGGAGTCACAGTGAATAACTGCACTGAGCTCAACTGGTCAAAGTGTTAACTCACGCCCTGCGCTGTCCACCTGCCTGAGAGTCCTTCTGGAAGGAGAGCCCACTGGGTGCTGTCTGTCCCAGCGTGGCTGCCAAATTGCTGTCCACGTAGAACAGTTTGGGAAGGTGCTTGGTACTAAAGGGAAAGAAAGAAAAAAAGATTGAAAACGAAATTTTATACCCTGCCCTTCGACACCGAACGAGGAGAGGATTTAAGGGCTGCGATCGACAACGGAGGACGTTACACTCACGAGGGGGCGACTGCACTGTACAGGACGAACGCCTTGCTCCTCTCCAATGAGTTGACATGCAGCACAACCAGGTTAGTGAGCAGCTGGCACGCAGTCTGATTCTTGTAGCTTGGGTTCTGGGTGGGGGGGGTGGAGGGGGGCAAAGAAATCTCTGCTTAGCTTTAGAGAAAGTGACCTTAAAGATCCCGCTTGTTACGGGGCCTCAAATCCCGTAGTTAGAAGTTTTTTTTCTTTTGAGTTGAAAAGCACGACTCACTGAGCACGCCAGGTAACTTGCGTGGAGGTGCCTTCCGTACCAGAAAGAGTCAGGGACGGGCAACTCTGTGGGCTGAAGGGAAAGGTTACTGATAACGACTGCCGATTCCTCTGGATTACACACAGCTGCGAGCTCTTTCCACACTCCCCCACCCCCCTCAAAAAACACGAACGGTTGAGGCCGACCCTTACCCTCAGCACAAATTGGACTTGCCAGGCTTGGGTTCAATTGTAGTGTCATACAACAACAACTCATACCGTCTTAATTCCAGGTTTGTATGTGGAGTTAAGCTGGTGTCCTACTAACCAGCACTTCATTGCGCTAGGATCTGGCTCTGAGCTTGACCGTTGGGAGCGAGTGTGTGTTTGTGTTAATGTGTGTGTGTGGGGCGCGGGGAGGGGGGGAAACAGGGGCTACACCCACAAAATGTCAATAATAACAACTTTCACCCGAAAGTAACGTTGCTTACCGGCAATTGGGTGTTTCCAAAACACAAGCCTCCTCTCTGAAAGTAAATCAGAAACCTGGTTACGGACTATTACAAATAATAAAACCGTAATGCACGCAATGCAGTGATCGAGCAGGTCAGTTCAGTTTATATCCATCGCTTGGGGTCACTTGAGCAACACTTCTGCTGTGGTGAGCATCGTGACGAACCACCATCACTTGGCCACTCGCACTGGCCTTCTCCTTCGACTATCCTTTCCCCCGCTTCACTTACCAGGTTACCAGCCGGACAGGTGCAGCTGCCTGTAGTCAACAGGAAGGTTTCCTGACAAGGAACACACCTGGCAGAGAGAGGAAACAGAACTCCTTCAGTCCATTTCATTTCAAGTCTCATCTACACAAGTCGCTACACTTGACAGTAAAATCCTGCCAAGAGCTTTGAGACTTCCTCCCGACATGAAAGGCGCTGTATCACTTACAAAGATGTGCTGCCACTGCGCCGAGCTAACACACAATGTATTTTGAGAAGGCGATCCCATACAACACCTTACCAGGAACTTACGTGAGATTCAGCAAGAATGACCAGATAGGGTTGCTTTGCGCACAGCGAGAGACTTACGCATTCCCCAGAGCGTTTGGCACAGTATTGTTCCCACAGTTCATACACCTGGCCGTCCTCGAGGTCAAATGCTCCTCTGGAGAACGAAGATGAAGAAGAAAAAAAGTAGTGTAGCAAGCCAACTGCGCACAGCAGCGTCCTACCAACGATTGGGGATTGAAGTGACCAATTTATTATTATTATTTTTTTGAAGGGATTATTGAGAAAAACGATCCGCCAATCGACTAACAACCGGGTCCCTACTTACTGCTGGTTAACAGAGGCGCGTGTGCGCGTGCGGACTAAGAAAACTTGCCCAACGTTTCGCCCTGCCCGGGAATCGAACCCAGGTCTCTCGCTTGCGAGGCAAGTGCTCTAATCACTGAGCTGCAGGACTCAGTGGCGGAGCACGATGGCGAATTTCCCCCTCCCCACCTTCCCAAGTACCGCCTAACCTCACTTGACTACTGGGGCCAGCCACACTGAAGCCGTACCTCTCACTTGGTTGTCTCCACACAACCTGCAGTCTCCGCCTATGCACGTCAAGCAGTTCCGGCCATCCAGAGACACGACCTTTCCCTGAACGGTCAACGGGGAAACATTTAAAAAAATATATTGTTGATTAAAATTAAAAAGCGCGTTATTTCCAGCACGTGCGGTAACCCGGGGGGTACACGGGCACAGGGGGGGGGGGGACCCTATGGTCTGGTGTGACTACGTACCTCTCGGCTGCACGGAGTGCACTGAGCCACGGGTGATACTGTATCGTTTGTGGTGTATCCGTCCCCGCAGACACAGCGCAGGCCTGAAGTCGGGAGGAAACAAGGAATTGAAGCCGATGACACAACCTTCACGTGATCACGCATTTCCATTGGAAGTGACAGGACTCCATAAAAACTGGTCCACGTGCCCCCCACTCCCCCACCACCCTCCCCCACCACCAGCCTCTCCTGTGTCCGGGAGCACGTGGGAGACTGAGTTAGTGATGCAAATCTTATAATTTCACAGTGGTCCCCTCACACCCGTTTCCCCCCCAACCCCACCCTCACCCCTATATGTCAGGAGGGTTTGCACCCCAGCTGTGGGTTGGGATCGCAGTGCGGTGGAGGGCAAGGTACCTACATGTATATTTATTTTATACACGTACATTCACCTGGAGTGTAGATTTTCAGTGTTGTATTACATTAACAATAACAAATTGGATTTACCTGGTGCCTTACATCACCTCTCCCTCTCCCCCCACCCCCCCCCCACCACTCCACACACACTTTAAAAAAACACTCTCTTCACTTTGGATGGGGAGGGAGGTGGGGGGGGGGGGGGTGGAAAGAGAAGCAAATTCGGATGCAATAGATTTAATGCAGATTATTGTTGAAGGTAGCTGATCTGGTAAACACACTACACAGGGAGCAGAGGTGTTGCTACTGGATCCCAATCAATAAAAGCAAACACACACACACACAGAGCTTACCATCAGGGCCTCGCTCCTGGTTAGCCCCACACGGGGAGCACCGGAGCTGGGAAGTCTGGTAAAACTGGGAATCGCTGCAGGATTGGGGCTGGACAAAGGGAATGGAGGTGTCAGCAGCCAGGGTGGAAGGGAGCTCGCACAGCACAGCCAGCAACACCGCAAACACACACACTGCGCTCCCTCCTCCTCCGGCTGCTGCTGCTGTAACTAATGCTGGGGAGGAAAACATGTTCACAAAGCAAAGGATGTTTATTGGGGCCTGTTACGTTATGGCTCTTTTTTCCCCCCTTGTTCTGTTGGGCTACGGCCCCGCCTGACGTTCACTTCACTGTGTAAAAGTCGTGTCTATGGTTTCCAGAACTCAGTGTCAAATTACATCTCGCTTTTCCTCCTCCCTCTTTCTCTCTCTTCTCCTCTTCCTCTCACCACTAGATGGGGGGAGTTCCACCATCTGATTTGTACAGCTTTCTGATCTGGTTCGTTCCAGAAACCAGCTCCAATCCACTTTCTTTTTTCCTCCCCCCTTATTAGTATTTCGGCCACATCCTTGTGAAACTGTTATCACTACTACTAATAATCCTGGCATTTTATAAAGCACCTTTTCATGTCTTCGAGGCATCTCAAAGCGCTTCACAGAATAAACTGGAAAGTGAACGCGTGTATATTTTGTGGGCAAATGCATCAAGGTATCGTTACCGAATGAAACACCTTTTTTCTCTCTCCCTCACCTCCCCCACTCCCATATTCTCATCATATACATTTCACATGACTCACCCTGCCCACTGGAATGCTTTACAGCAGAAGCCAAGTGACATCTAATAGGTTGCAAAAGGCCCTACATTTCCCCCACTTTACAATAATCATAACAATAGTTACATTTGATACAGCATTGTTTGTTAAAGATCCCATCGCACTATGGCACAAGTTTCTCTTGTTGGCCAGGACACAGAGAGAGAGGAAATTCTCTTCTCTTTTTGAATAGTGCCATAGTATCTTTAACGTCCACTTCAATGGGTAGACGGGATCTCGGTTTAAGATCTCATCCGAAGGACGGCACCTCCGACATCGCAATACGCCCCCAAGCACTGCATTGGAGCATCAACTTAAATTATGTGATTCCAAGTCCTGACGTGGAGCTTGAACGCACAACCTTCTGACTCAGAGGCGAGAGACAACCTGCTCCAGGTAATAGCTTTTGACAAGTTGTTATTGTTTAATTAACCAAAGGAAACTATAGTTACCTTCTGAATAACCTTATATGAATCCTATGGAGAAGTGGTGATGTTTCTGCGAATGACGTTCCTGTAAATGAGAATGGTGAAGTGGCCAAACAAATGTTCTTGACCATCTAAACAGGGTGGCAGGGCTGTAATTGTGAGTGGGTGTAAGAGAGAGGGAGAGATAGAGGGATAACTAATCATGAAGGCTGCTCTGTGAAAGCTTGGAGGAAAGGAGTTACAGTGACCTTGCAGCACACTAAATCATCTTGACAGGTTAATTTGAGGCACTGTGTTCAAGTAGGAACCAAGGATTCCCAAAGAAGCCAATCCCTTGTGTATTTAAGTTAGCTGATGTACTGTGTATTGTGAAACTGTCCGTACTGCCCAGAAAGGGGAAGGCAACAGGGAGGGGGTGCAAGACACTCTGCAAAGAACAACCCTCCAAATAATCTCTCCAAAAAAAATACATTTGGTCAATCACTCCATAACTGTTTGTGGGACACACTGCAGTGCGGACTTGGCTGCCGCGTTTCGCCCACAAAATACACAGTCAATCCACTTTGCAATATATTCTGTGAAGGGCTTTGAGACATCTCAATGACGTGATAAGGCGCTATGTCAAATGGAAGGAATATCATTATTATTATTATTCAGTCAAGGTTCACACAAAAAATATAATGGCCACTTGACAAGGTACCAGAGACTGACTGGTCAATAGTAAGCCAGCGGAAGGAAAATACAGATGGAAAGAAAATGCAAGTTGACAGGAACTTCCGTGAGATGAACAATAAATAATTTATAATGTGCTTCTAGATAAATTGCCCCTGGAGCACTGACCCTCTAATCTTATCCAGGGTGGCTGTGTTTAAGAGATAGTGCTTGTTATGAGTGCTGCTCATTTTCCTAATTATATTTCTGCTGCCCAGTCTGCCGCTGACAGGCAGGCTGGCCTGGTTTGGGCACACTGTGGATGGTGACTGGATCTGATATGAATTGGCTTCAGCTGCAAATGGGAAAAAAATAAAAATAATCATTGATAAAACCTTCAGACATGAAACTGTAATATATATTTATATTTATAGAGAGAGGACTGACGTCAAGAGCAGCAAAATATCACTGAGTGGAACTAAAAGCACAACTGAATACCATAGAAGCTCCAAAATAGTGTGTTTTTTCACAGGATTGGGAGGGGGAAAGAGAAAGAAAGGAAAAGTACATTATGGTCAACCTGTATCCTATTCTTACCTGATGTCCCTACATTCAGAGGTCACTGAATAATGATCTGAGGACCAAAATTCCTTCGTGGTCTTTTAAGATTGTGCAGAATTTTGATTAATTCTTAAATTCGATCTTAAATCTTAAGAGATTCCACTTTTTATTTTAAAAAAAGGAATTGTGTTGAGCCGGCTTTCAAAATGGCTTATATTTGAAGACATCAGTCTTAGTTTTAAGAGGAAATCTGGGGCTCAGGTACAGAGAAACAATTTTCCTTCTTAATTGAGGGACCTGGTGGTTGTGGGAGGGGGGCTGTGGGAGTGGGGGAATCTAATGGAGCAGGGAGTTTTTTCTTCTCTCCACCTTGCCCTCTCTTTCTCCATCTTCAAGTTGCTCCTGAAGAAGTTCCTCATCGATCGTGCCTACTCCCCCCTCCCTGTGTCGTGCTCCGCCACGGTCAAGCGCTCTGGGACGCTAGCCTGCGTGAGGGGCGCAATATAAATTCAAGTTGTTTTGTTTTTCTTCCCTTTAGCATTTCAGAACGGGCAAATCTCTGGGTCATTGTTAAATTCAGCCTTTAGTTTCAAAGAAAATGTGCACGCCCCCCCAAATGGGAAGGGAACAAGTCTATGACTGGACTTCATTGGAAGAATATCTCTTCCAATCGTATACGTGGTCCCAACAACAAGACTGGAAACGTCACAAGAGCAGGATATGGAAGACAGTCTATGGATTCTTAGGTAATCACAGTCTTGCTTAAAATCGATTCATTACACAACCATTTGCAGCATAGTATGTTTTAATGACATCACAATATACAAAATACAGTACAAAGCATATTTTCCACAAAGATAAAACATTTACGAAATAGAAAGACAATATAATACATGGTAACGTTGTCCAGAACAGTCATTCCAGAGAGATTGGTTCCCTCTGTTACAGTAAAAGGCATTGGAACCAACTTATAATAAACTTTATGTAATGGTGGCCTTCAGCATGAAGTGAACACTTAATGATTTACTAAGTAAAATAGTCTACGGAACAGCACAACGCCCTTATAATTAATTTGTAGCGTTCATTTGTTTTGTTTTATTGATTCATCGAGCTATTTATTTCACAGAATTTAAAGCACACCATTAAAATCATAACTTACAACATGTTCTCATTCCAAACAAGATAGACCCATGCACACGGACAAACAGTTTGTACCTAGGTCAGACACATTAGACAAATTATTTTTACAAAAAAAATCACACAACAGTTCGTACACAAAGCTCTATCATTGAGTTATTTCTGCCCATTGAATAGAACACAGTTATGACTGAATATTGCATAGTTCACCAATGCACAGATACAAGGTCAGATACTTAAGACAGAGATAGAGAATTCTTTTTAAAATCGAATTTCACAGTGAAAGCCAGCTCATGGCGACAGGAGGAACAGCTTCAAAAATTAAAGCAAACACACACATCAGTGCACTGGGCATGAGAAAGGTTTTAAGCAGCACAGAAAATGTCATTATTAGTGCAATCATTAAGGAGAGTATGCAGAGAGTTTTGCATACAGATGCATAGAATATAAAAGTCATAGGTAACACTTATTTCGGACACCATAAATCAATCAATCAATCAATCAATCTCTTATCTTTCAGATCACTCCCTTTGCCTTTCACTGGGGCAACCGCGTTTGCTCAAGAAATAGAACAGAACGAAATTCCACCTGGTGTCTTCAAATTTAAAAGACACATTTTAATCTCTCCCGTGTATCCTGTAAAGCGCTTTGAGACGTTTCGACGGCGTGAGTGATATGGCGTTGTGTGAATTGAAAGGAGGAGGATTATTATTCTTTATCGTTGAAGGCGAAGACTGAATGGAAAGTCAGTGCGCTGAGATGAGGCTGAGGTTGAAATGATGCAGAGTTGTTTGCCCATTTCGTGTGAAATGTTACGTGTGCTGGGTGAGCAGTGAGGAGCGGAGCTCTGAGGCAGTCGCTGTGACAGCAGTAGCCGTTGGCAATGTGTTAAGATTTGTGTGCTACTTTGTGCAATGAGATCGAATTCCGATCAAAAAAACACACACGCAATCAGCTTTTAAATCAAAGCAAACATGGCTAAGCTTACGGCAGCAGAAATTCCAATCGAATAATTTCGCCAAGGAGTGCAAAGGCACTGCGTTAGCAGAATAAAACTATCCTCTCTCCACAACCTGATTTCTAACATGCTTTGTCTTGTACTAAAACCGGCCCAGATTTTGGTTCTATGGCTCTTGGTTCTCCTCTCTTCCTCCCCGCTCAAATCGTGCATAGCTGGGAAGGGCAGGAATAGAAGTATGGGCTTGTAATGTCAAGGCCAGAGAGTGAAATAAACAAATATTCAACACTTTGGAACATTATAGTGCAATAATCTAGTACTTCACATGTAATCACACACATTAACAGCACATTACACTCTGTGCTGGAAAATTAACAATGACCAAAATGTCTTTCTTCACACTTTGTACAAGGATGTAACTAGAGTACAGTAACCTTCAAGGGATGTTCATTTGTCATTATGTAACATACATAACATATTTTTAGACCCTTTAACTTTCTTCTCCTCCTGTCTATTTTAAGACACTTCCCAGAACACTCATCTTAATGAACGACTAGTTACATCTACTGAACCCTTGTATCAATGGCTAATTTACTTGTTTTAAAGAAACGTTGAGTTTAAATCCTCATTTGAACTTTATAATCCTTTCCTTCTGTTTCACTTTTGTGTAGATGGTTTACGATCAGTTGCTCCTCTGTAACCTCAACCCTTTATTGGCATTTAAGGACGTGCTTAGATTGGCAAATGTTTTTTCTGCCTTTGTGGGAACTACAACCTCACCATTTCAATAGATCAGTCAGTCTTTCTCAGTGGCCACTTGTTAAACGTACTTACATATTCTAAACAAATCTGACAAAGGGTCGTGGACCCGAAACGTTGACTCACTTTCCTTTCTGCATAGATGCTGCCTGACCTGCTGAGTGTTTCCAGCCACTTCCGTTTGTGTTTCAGATTTCCAGCATCTGCAGTATTTTGCTTTGCTTTTTGTTGACATATTCTAAACCCTGAAGGTATTCGATTTTAAGACTTCTTTAAGGAATTTGACATGAAATAAAAAATTGTGTGGGCGCGGGATCAATGTTG